CCTCTGCGGAATCACCTGCCCACACTCGTGTGTCAGGGCTCTATCCCGGCCCAGGCCATCCCATCAGGGCTCAGCGCTCCCCTGGTCCCTGGCCCTGCTCCAGTGGGTGAGGTGATGATGGCATCGCTGAACTCTCCAAATCCTACTAGGATCTAAGGAAGCGCTGATTTCCAGCCCCGGGCATGAGGGTCTGTAGAACTCAGGGGCAGCGTGCGTGATGCAGGCGTCTGTAGGCTGCCCGAGACCGCTTCACCGGCTACCAGCTCTCATAGGGAACAAGCGATTTCCGAGCTTCAACTACTGCGTGTGATAAGCTGCCCCAATGCAGGCTGTGTACCCACACACATCACGGACACAGCAAGAAGCTCCCAGGCACGGATAGCGTTATTAGCATCATCTTATATTTGGAAAAGCAGTTTTAAAAAAACACTTGAAAATACAAGATAAGGTAACAGTGACATATAAGTTTTCACCTTATATTGCCCGGCTGTTTTTACATATAAATTATTGCTTACTAGCTTCGATAAATACACAGCACAGTCATATATGTACAGAAGCAGAAAGCATGAAATCTGAGGAAGGAAATACTGTTAATGGCAATTCTGGTAATTCAACCCATGTTTCATATTTACCAGCTCCTGCAATGGTGGAAAACTACGGGGTGTGGTCCCTGAGAAGATAGGTGGGCACCCTGGTTGCGGGCTGGCTATCGGCTAAGCGTTCCCGCCCACTGACGACGCCACCGCAGTCCTAATGCACGACATGTTGGAAGGCCCGACTCCTTGCTGCAGCTCACTGATTCCGTCCCAGCATTTAACGGCGTGACACGAATACAATAAATAGGCTATGCAAATAAATAGTGCTCTGCTAAAAAACGTTTAGTATGTACAGCTTTGCTTTTTACAGTAGTACATTTTCATCTAGCTTTTTGGCAAATTTTAAAAACATTTCCCCACTCCCAGTGTTCGGCACAGTGGCCCGCTCATCACAAGCAGGCTGAAATTTTAAGGACGTGTTTGAAGCGTTGAAAAGAAATCTGTGTCAGACAATGGCAGGGCACCCGATGGTCCCCATTTTCACGTTTTCCCCTTGTTTCCGAGAAGCTTGGGGTACTTGTGCCATGTGGGAACACCGAGTCTGCGTATGTGAGGGCTGTCACAAGGCGGCCGGGCTGGGACGGGGGGCCGCGGGGCAAGCCCAGCTCTGGGGGCCCAGGCCCCAGGCACCCTCTCCTTCCTGCAGCCGTTTCTCCCACCAGGAGGCGGTAAGCCTCACCGAGCAGCGGCATCTGCCCCCGCCTACCGGGAAGGTGGCCTTTTACTTTATCCTCACGCTGCTGAGCTCGGTGCACGCCCCACCTGACTTGCCTGTGGACAGGGTCTGGGTAAATGAACTTCTTCTAAACGTAATTAATGATATAAAGTGAATGCAGGCCATCATATTTATCAGGGCAACCATTTGGCAATTGTGCAGATTATAAGAAGTGACTCTGAAACGCTGTGGTCTTTGGAGCGTCTGTAAGTATGGACGGAGAAAGGAGACATTCGGCAAGGTTGTGGTTGTGCCCATGGGAACCTGCTGTGCTGATTTCTAAGCTGGGCTGGTTCGCCGGGATGCTGACATCCAGACCCGCAGGCTGTGGAGGGCTGTGCTGCAGCGAAGAGAACCGCTCGGAAGGGCGGGTGGTGGCGGCAGCTGGCAGGTTTCCGGGGCGGATGGAGATTTTATGCGACCATAACAATCTAAAAGAGCCGGAAAGCAGCATAGACGTCTTCCAGTCCACCCGTCTGTTTAGCCAGCAAAAACCTACTCCAGAGAGGCTGTGGCAAGGATTTGGAGGGAGCACAGCCCATCCCCACTAACAGGGAGCTGCTGAGCCCCACGTCGGCCGCTCACTGTTGGGCAGCTCAGATTTTTGGGAAGAGCTCCATGCTGAGCTAAACCCGGCTCCCACAATTCCGCCTTGAGTTCTTTAGTCCCAGGCTTACATCTCCTCTGCGCTTCTGAAATTGCTGAGAGCTGCTGCCTGGGGCATCGCTGGAGACAGTTGCTAAATTTCAGGAAGATTGGGAGATGTGGACATTCAGAAGATGGGGATGGAAAAGCAAATCTAATGTAAACAAAATCCTCCCTTCCCTCGGCTGCCCCAGAGCCCACCCCGGCTGGAGGAAACGTGACCGCACCACGCTCTCCCCGACCCGTGTCCGCCCACGCCGTGGGGCGTGCTCTGCCGACACCATGGAGGTGGGTTTAAACTTGATGCACATGTGGATTCGTTAGGCCGTGGACATATCTGAAATGAGGTCTAAGCAACGGGTGCTTTACTGAAGAAGTTCTCTACTAAAGGAATTGCAATAGTTTTCGTTGGAGCAAAGTAGATCCTATGTGAATAAAAACTTAAATGCAAAACATGGAGACAATATCAAAATGGCCTTCGATGGTTTGACTGGGCAAACGCTCCTCCCCACACAGAGAGCAGACAGGAAGGCCTGGGCGTGCGGCGAGGCCCTGCCCCTGCAGCGTGTGATCGGCCACCAGAGACGCCTGCTGCCCTGGCTCCAGGCTCAGGTCTCCTCCAGGAGGTCCCATTCCGGGCCCAGCAGCCGGGAGCATTTCTCTAGTGGGCCAGCCCTGGATGGTGCTTTCAACAAAATCCTGCTAATTTTCAGGACTGACGTTTACATGCTGGGGCAGACGCAATCTCTCTGAAAGGTCTACCAACAATCTTCTCCCCGTGGCTCCTTTGAGCAACTCCTCAAGCTCTGTGTGGCTCCTGAGCCAGGACACAGCCTTGCTGTGAGGGGCCAGGCAGCCCTGGACGGAGGTGCTGAGGCGGCAGGAGGTGGTTCTGCGCAGGCACCTGGGAGACCCACAGGCGGCCGGACTGAGAAGTGCACCAGGCTCCCAGGGCTGGAACGGGCGTGGAGCTGGCATAGGGAGCCGGCGCCCTGGGAGTTTAGCAACGTGGTAGGTATCTAACTGGCCGGGTGCATTTCATTGCCTCATCCCACAGGCTTTTATGAAGGGCAAAGAGACGCTAACCCATTCTGGAGAATAGCCAGGGTCTTATTTACTGGAGGAACCCTAATCTATAAAAATGGACATTAGGGAAAAAAAAAAGACTTAAAAGACTCAGGGAGAAAAAAACACACCAAATTATAGGAAGGCCGCTGTCTTGGCTGGAAGATGAACTCTAGGACTTGCAAGGGTCCAACATAAATCCGATGTTTGCTGTGAGACAAACATGGGCAATCAGCACCATCTTCCTCCCTTGCGCTTCTATAGGGAGGGAGTGCCGAGTGCCTTGCACATCCCACCCCACTCACCTCCCTGTACCGGCTGTGACCCCTGCACCCAGCGGGCAAGGAGCCGGCAGAGGCGTGCAGAGCACCAGGGCCCCGCCAGGCACCTCTGACTGCCACCTTGATGGAGCCTTTGAGGTGTCAGGCCCTGCGCTCTTTCAAAAATCGTATTGTTCCCAATAGGAGGAGACCCTGCTTGCACGTGTCAAGAAAATCCCCGGAAGTTAAACCATGAGTCAATCTCCTAAAGATTCCTGTTTTTCCTTACTGGCAAAGCCATGTAGCCTAACTTGTCCACAGTTGCAAATCAGTTATGCAGAAACGGATTTCACCGGCGAGCCGACATCCGTAAGTGACTGTGGGTGCAAAGCAAGGCCTGCCCCGACATTTCCCTTCTGGGACTCAGGGCACGGACGCCAGCGACGGGTCCTCACGGCTCCCCAGACACAAGGGGCCTTTGGTGACGTCACAGTGAATAGCAACAGAGACCATGCCTTCTCCCTGGAAATCTGGACGTGCCATCACCGTCTCCTGGTGTTCAGACAAGCCCCTTCTCTGACAGCCTGTACACAACAACCTGCTCGCAGGCGACGCAGAGCTGCTCCTGAACCGGCAGCCCTCACAGAAATATCTGGCCACTGCACAAGACAGGCTCCCCGGCCTTGACGCTGGCACATCTCAAGTTGAAAACTGGATGGGATCAACAACGTCCATGTAAGAAACCAGGCTTCTCCATGCCAAGATGCTCTGAGTCTTCTGCCTTCTCGGCCGAGAGCGAGAGCGGCGAGGTGAGCTGAGGTGAGGCCCTTCCCCGCCGCGGGTGGCCGGAGCATGTCTCGTGAGTTACTGATAAAACTCAGCAGCTTCTTTTCTCCCAGGAAAGGGACGTGCTGGGCACGGATGTCCTGTGGCGGGAGAGCTGCAGGTGCTCAGGGGGGTGCGGCTGGGCTCACGCGCGGGGCTCGATCCGGTGGGAGAGCTCGAACAGGGCCTGCTGGCTGTCGATGACGTACAGGTGGGTGACGTAGGACTTCAGCTCCTGGTGCTCTTTCGGAGACATGTCTCCTCCTAAGTTTTGGAGGAAAAAGACCCCCAGTTAATTTCATGAGTGTGGTGATGTTCTGGCTGAAGCCCGGTCAACCCCACCGTAAGGCTTAGTGTAAACCTACCAGGCAGACTGAGTCAGACTTGCAGAGGAGCTCTCAATGCTAACCGGGCAGTTGCGTTCTCAGCTCGGACTAGGTTCCTTGGTCAGGTTTAGACCCGGCAAGGTGTTTGTCTTACCGACATGTCTGTGGTGTTTACTACCTAACAATACACAGCCTTCAGCAGCTGGGTTATCACCCCTCTCAGAGGGGAAACAGCACAGACACACGAGTGAGTGGCCGTGTGGGACTGGAACCCTGGCCCTGTGGCTCCCGGGTCCGTGGTCTGCGGTCCCGTGTCACAAGACATGCCCGTTTCAATGGCTCTCACGGGCTCTTAATCTCAGTCTGGAGCTGTGGGAATCACTGCTCCCCTGGTGAGTGCACAGACACAATTCTTTTTGGTGTCCTCATTTTGGGGGAAGGGATGGGGAATGAAGAACTAAATGTAAGGCATGGCTGACAGGCACCGCAGGAACCTAAAGGACACGGCTGGGCTAACATCCACCCCCTGAAAGGCGAGGCGGGGGTTTCCACTCCCCATCCAGGACCCGGGTGGTTAAATACTGTGGGGCCCGCCTGGCTTTGGTACACGCTCAGTCCCAGCAGAGGGGCGGGGCCTGAGGAGGCTGACATTTCAAAGCAGCTGTTTTGTTCCTCCCTCTGCTATGACAATGTGTTTTGTAATCTAAGGCCTGTCTGTCACGGTGGCTGATCATTCTTAGGTTTAACAGAAATAAGACTTTCTGGTTTCAAAAGGTAAAAAGCACCAGGAGTTGATGTTTTTACCGTCCGACGTTTTTGAAAGTGACCAAAGGCTGTGTCATTCCGGAGGCCGTTTCTGGAGACCCCAAGATAACGTGTCTGTCTAGTGAGCATTGGTATCGAACACACGATGCTACCAAGGTAATGTTGTTGTTAAATGTCTGGCCTTAAAAGAGGAAGACAGAACGAATGGTTCCAATCATGACAACGGACACTTGCAGGCACTCTGTAGTTTTTAGGGGCCTTGACTAATATTATCTTATTTTC